GAGAGAGAGAGAGAGTGAGAGAGAGGGAGAGAGAGAGAGAGTTTTCCATCGATAGGATGAGCAACGCACCGACCAACAGGTAAGTCACCAACCCCGCAACTGGCCTCACACTACTTCCATCGATAGGATGAGCAAAAATGAATGAATCTTCCGCTAGAACAGCGCAATATACACTACTACACGTGTGTGTGCGTGTGTTGTCATATTCACTATACACTCAAAAAAAGCACGACTGTACCAGACTGTTTCATCGGACTTTCACCGACTCATCAGGAGGTTGAACCCCGACAGTATGCCCAGAGTTAGCGATACCCCTCAGAAAAGTGGTCGACTTTACTCACGCCAACCTTGCAATCCTAGCAGACTGCCGGTCCAAACCCCTGACAAGAACGGTAGTAAGTCTGGGTGTGTGTGTGTGTGTGTGTGTGCGAGTGAGTGAGAGAGAGAGAGAGATTTTTCCAGCCATGCACGCAGAAAGATAGAGAGAGGCTACTTCCGTCGATAGGATGAGTAAAATCGGAATGAATCTTCCACTAGAATATGGAAATATACAGTGCTTTCCAGCCATGCTACTCCCATCGATAGGATGAGAAAAATCAGAATGAATCTTCCGCTAGAACATGGAACTATACACTGCCAAGCGCTCACGTGTGCGCTCCGCTCTCTCGCCCGCCACAGCGCTCTTGGCAGCACTCCCTTTCCAAGATCGTCGCCTTCGTGTGTGTGTGAGCACTCACTCGTACACTCCGCTCTGTCTCGCCCGCCACAGCCCTCCTGGCAGCCAGCCCCTTCCGAGATTGTCGCCTTCGCCCCACGCTTCCGTCTGGGCCCCGCCTGGCCTGTTCACCCCACGCTTTCGTCTGGGCCCGGCTGGTTTCGCTGGCACCGGTCGCATCGACCGCCTGCCTAGTCCTACAAGCTGGGAACTGGGTCTCGCACGGGGCAACACCCGAGACCCGCTGGCGTATGTAGAAGATGTTGGGGGAGAAAAGAACTGAATGGTGGCACGACACTTTTCATGCACATTGGGCACACCGGCAAAGTCCCAGTCAAGTTGGCCGTACTGGAGGAGGAGGGAGTCCGAGGGACAGCTGCAAGATAAGATGCTTTACACACGCACATTTCGAGGGAGAGGGAAATGTTGACCAAGATTGCAAGGTGGTTTACTGGCTCGTTGGAGGAGAGTGGGAGTGCTGATGAGCACCCCAAGATGCTTGAAACCACCCCTCTACCCGGCTTCAGAAGTAGGGGGACTGGTAGGCCGTTTTCTGAAACAGGCACGTAGGCTACCGGTAGGTCAGTGTGGGGCCTGGCCTTGGTCCCAGAGTGGCAAAAAATGAAAATATGTCGAATCGGCATGGAGATTATTTGACGGGCACAATGATTTTTTTATTTTTTTCTGATACTTTTCCTGGGATGATCACAACCCAATCTACAGACCCCCAAATTTTTAGAATTTTCTGTTAATTCTTCTGAGCACGAAAAATCACCAAAGTTGCCGTACTACTTCTGTTAGCCGACACATGGTAGAGCGGCGAAAATGAAAACGCGCCAAATCGCCGCGGCAATTATTTCACAGGCAATTTTTTTTTTGTTGAATTTTCCTATTTTTTTCTTATATTTTTCCTGGAAAGATCACGACATAATCTACGAACCCTCAAATTTTTAGAATTTTCTGTGAATTCTTCTGAGCACGAAAAATCACCAAAGTTGCCGTACTACTTCTGTTAGCCGACACATGGTAGAGCGGCAAAAATGGAAATGCGCCGAATCGGCGTGGCAATTATTTCACGGGCAAAATGCTTTTTTTCCTATTTTTTCTTATATTTTTCCTGGAAAGATCACGACATAATCTATGAACCCTCTAATCTTTAGAATTTTATGTGAATTCTTTTGAGCACAAAAAATCGCCAAAGTCGCCGCTCTGAAATTGGGGACTAGCCCCACCGGTTGGCAACGGTGATAGGATAGTGATCACATTGTCATCGCTTCAGGGATCTTGCACACAAATAGCGAGCTCCCTTCCCACAATCCCAGAGGATTTTAGGAAACAGCACGACTTTGATGTGGTGAGGGTCTACGACCACGGCCAATGAGCTCGTCATACGCTCTTAGCCATTCTCGACTTTCAGTCAAATACATCCAGGAAAGTCTTTTAGTGTGAGGCTGTGAACATGCTCTTAGCCATTCTGACACACACCAACTTCGCTCTAACCATACAGCTCGGACATTTCAGAGAACACACTTTTTGACTTGATTCTTTGAAGGACATACCCCCGAGGAGGTATTCTGGACTGCGACAGCCATAAATTACTAGTACCTCACTTATTCCGGGTGTGCATGGGACAAGCTCTCCCTCACCCGTAAAGGGAAACGAAAGAGAGAGATGCCCCCGACAGACTGTGTTTATTGACACAATACAGTCAAGGTTTTTATCAATCTTTCTCACACAGCGAGACTACCAGCAAATGCTAAATATTCCCCATGTTCCCCTGCTGCTTGAGGATATTAGAGAGAGACAGAGAGAGACAGAGAGAGAGAGAGAGAGAGACTCACCATGTGTCTGCATGGAAGAACGGTTGTATCCCTTGGCTCCGATAAGCAGATAACACATTCCTTTCCAGTATCGCCAGTCTCTTCTCCCCCTCCTCCACCATTGTCGATGCCGTAAATCTCCTGCAGCTCATAGACCTGGCCGCTCACCCACAACTTCTGCTTCAGCACTCGAGCACCCCACGTATCGCCTCTCTTCTCTATTACCGCATATGTGGTCTGTGCCTGAACCCACTTTGGCAGCATCTCTCCCGGCGGGGCGTTTTCTCTTGAAGGCGCATCTGGAGGAGGATTCTTCGGAACCGTCTCTAATCGTACTATTAACGGGTACACTCCGTCACTCTCTTTCGACAGCTCCTTATCCATAAATTTCAACATATCTATTCCTGTCCCTGCCTGCTGCATGAACTTTTGCGCTGATCCTTTGTTGAATCCTATTCTCCTAGGAGTGAAGCAGGAGGGTCTGGTCTGAGTGATTGACAATCCCTCTCCCTCTTTTGCCTTAATAAATATGCAGATGCTGCACCAGCAGACATGTACACAACCACCACCACAACAACAACAACATTAAAACACCACCCCATGAAAATCAACATCCACACACAGCTCCCTAGCGGGGGCTTCAAACAGCGCCCCCATGCAGAAGTCACTTGATAAACAAAGTCTCGTCATTTCTCCCTCTGCAATCGTTTGACTTCACTACACGATCCTTTTGCTTGAAGAAAACACTAACTTTTCGGAAAGGCAACGAACCACAGTTACCCAAACTGATGATACCAATTTACCCCGCTGCTTCAAAAAGATGTCAGACTCTTTGCATTGCAGAAAAGCGGATGTCAGATGAGTTTTTCACCGACGAATTGTGCCCTTTACAACACTCCACAATCCACCAGACAAAAGTGCTACTGCAGAAACCTTCCGGAAAAAAAAAAAAAAAAAAAAAAAACAGAAACAAGAAAGAACGAATAACAGAAGACGAATACATCTTACAGTCAGCAAAAAGAACAATTAAAAAAAGGGATTGCGATGGTATCGTTGAACCAGATTTTGGCCCAGGCCATGCCCATCCCAAGGAGAGCTAGCAAAACACAATTCTCCTTCCCCACTACACGATCCAGTCTAAAACATACTCCCCGCAGATTGTTTTCCTATCAACCGATCGAGTGGAGCACAACTCTGCCTCGGATGGACAGACACTCGAGCTGGGATGAGGAATGAACGGATCCCATGAAACACCACATAACAGACAGCATCTTATTCGTGCTCAGAATCCAACCGCCCACACACACACACACACATACACACAGGCGGTATATAGCCCAGCACTTGGGGGGGCTACCCTGAAGACCAACCCTCGCACACATCTCGGCGAATCGGATGCCAGACTGGTTCTACTGATCGGATAACCAAGGTCAATGCAACCCATATATAACCTCATCCTCTATACATAGAGCGTAAAGGATCGTCCATCAGAGAAGTCTACTGCTTAAACAAGTGCGCGTCCAAGAGGACAATAAGCGCCTGAGAAGCCAAAGCTTGCTCATGCGGAGAGGTGAGATGCAAGAGTTCGCAAATGGGATAGGACGCGGGTTACAAGTTCACGGCCTTTCCATTTCTGACCACTGCTTAAACAAGTGCGTCCAAGAGATCAATTGGCTCCACGACTTCCCTCATCTAACATCTTCCCCCAAACGTTATAGACCGAAAGCAGCCCCAAATACAGCCATAAAGACCATGCATTCTATTCGGGGGAAGACAGAGATGCCACCATCTCACAAGTCCAGATGCATCCACGCTGTATACAAAGAGAATATCACGACCCAGTAATCCATCCGGCTTAAATTCTGATTCCAGAAGGAGGTCCCAAATTTGCTACTATTTTTATGGGCAGTGCCTTCCTCGGAGAACAACTTCCTATGATCAAGCTTTTCTTCTCTTTTCTTTTAACAAGAAAAAACACCTTTCATTTCAAAACCAACAAAGAGGAGGCCAGGAATACCTCCGAAACAACGATGATGCATACTCGGAATAATCCGAGTGATGGAATGAAGCCAAAGGATCAGCAAAGTGACGATAAGGACCCGGATGGACAATGCAGAATCCGCGAAGCATCAACATGCAACTTAGATCCGTATACATACAAAAGTGGCATACACTGACTCGACTCAGCCCATCACACACCACACATGTGAGAGAGAAGGGAGGGACCGCATACATGAAAGAAAGGTCCCTCCTTGAACATGCACATGGGGAGAACCACGGGGATTGAGGAAGAGCAAGACGAAGATGGAGATGAGGAAGAAGACCAAGATTGTGATAGTGCAGTCCAAAAATAGTCTCCCTGTCGAATGTTCAATCAATGTCTGCCCCTGTGATGTCGAATCAGATCCTGGGCCCCATAGCCCGACATAACATCTGCCCGTAACCTCTCTCTCTCTCTCTCTGAAGGCAGAAGAAGAAAAGAAAAGATAAGGGGGAAGGGACATATGGAGGGCGAGAGTAAGAAGAAGACAAAGGTGTCAACCCCTCCACTGTGTCACCTGCAGTCCGCTGCCGCCAGGAACGAACTAGCAGGCTTGCCTCTCTCTGCTGCAGGTCGCTGGCAACCAGCTATGGCGCCCAGCTAAGCTGCTCGCACCTTGCAGGTATGGCCACCGCCTCTCCCTCACCTCTCCTAGCCCCTACGCCTCTACCTCTACCTCTAACGCAGCATTGCGCTCACGCACTGCTCCAGCAGCGTGAGCTTCCCAAACTGTCCCAGGAGCTGGGCTGGCCCAGCTATAGGGCCTCGCCACACCACTCTTGAAACACAAAAATGTTTCTTGTCAGGTATCTTGAAGAGTCGGATTTTGGAGAGTTCAGCCCCCTTCACCACACAGCACTCTCGAACCCTGGACTCTTGAAACGGGCTTGTCGGTCTGGACTGTCTCAAGAGTGCTGTGTGGCAGGGACGGGCTGCAATTGAAGTTTGCAGTGGGCTACTCAGGAATGGATCTTATTAAGCTAGAACATTGAAAGATTCATCTTCCCCTTGTTGGTTCTTCGTGAGTGTACTCTTGAAAACAGGCCGACCGATCTAACCACCGTGTCAGGGTAACGTCCTGACAACTCTTGAAAAACAAGGGCCCTTCAAGTGCTCTCGCGAGGACGCGTGTTGCAGGCTGTGTGGCGGCGTGCTGGACTCTTGAGACGCTGCGTGGCGGCGCGTTGGACTCTTGAAAACACGGTTTTGAGAGTGGTGTGGCAAGGCCCATAAGTATCGCTGGGCCTGGATGCGATGCCCACAGCCTGCGACCTACGCCGTTGGATCTCGAGTCCGATCGATGGCCTGGATCGCAGGCCCAAGTCGTGCTGCTGGTCCTAGCCTCAGAAACGGCCTGCCTGGGGGTCCCTACCGGCCGTCCACTACTGGACAACCCCAAACCTGGCCCAAAATGGCCTGGCCACGAATCTAGGCTGGAGGAGGCTCAAAAACGTGGTCCTAGTCCGAACAGACCACAAGTCTGTCGGGACATACTTACAAATGCCGAAACGACGCCCTGAGGCAGACAAAAAATAGAGCAGACAACAAGTCAGCAAATAAATAAATAAATGCTGGATGGCGCAACAACCGTGCCTGGCGGTCGTGGGCCTCCCGGGCGCATGGCCTGGGGGCCCTTAGCAACTGTCAGGCCCCCGAAACGGGGCCCGTGTGGCAGGCTTAGCATGCAACAACGAGGACACAAATTCTGGAACCATTATTCAGCTTCGGTTCAGGCGTTGGGAAGTATATCCAGAGACAGAAATGGCCGAAACCAGGCCGCTGTCCTGATTTCCCAAGCCCTGGTAGAAAAAGAACACGCCACAGGCCTTCAAAGCTGAACAAAGTGAATGTACCAGTCTCCCTAACCCCGCCAAAAAACTGTCTGAGACCCACAAAAATCACTCAAAACCAAGAAACAGCTGGTCCAAATGTGGAAGCCCTACAACCCACCCAAACAAACCAGAAGGCAACCAAAAGGGGTTAATCCACCGACCCAGCTAACTTCCCGACAAGAAAAAGTACCCTCACAAACTTACATAATCAAGGAAACTACTTACAATCCAAAAGAAGGCCTGCCTAACTCTATACTTCCATACCTTAATAGCCGGCTACATGTCCGAATAAGCCCACCTAATATGGTGGCTGCATCCAGTTGGATCCAGTTGGAACCGATGTAGCATGGCCCTCCCTCCTCCAGCGTTCCCCCCGCCAATCTATCTACTGTGATTCAGTTCTTAACCGAGTGCCCAGGTTTGGAGATCATACTCTACAAATCCTCAAAGAGCTAGGAGTCTGGGCACACTTTCTGCTGACCCTACACTTGCTATGGAGCCGCGCAAGCACAAACTTTCCCAAAACCAAGTCAGACCACTTTCTCTGTTGTGAGCTTTGGCAACCTTCCTCCTCCAATCGGCCAGGATTGCATTTCGCAAGAGGCGGGAGAAGGTTGAACGAAAAATTGACAGTTAGTCCTTATTATGAAGCAACCTGCATTAGCAGATTCATTTTCAGTAGTTTCACGCATTAAACTAGAAGTTCCTAAAGAACCATGCATAGCACTAAATAAAGAGCCGCCAAAAACACCAGCTACACCTAGCATATGAAAAGGATGCATTAATATATTGTGTTCTGCTTGGAAAACAAGCATAAAATTGAAAGTTCTTAGGACGCTTTCTTTCTCTTTTCCTTATTCGATGATTTTGTTTTTTACACCCCGCAACAACGCATTGATCAGTTCCCACAAAAGGTCAAGAATGTTTGGATGGAGCCTCGATGACCAGATTACGCACGTCACCACAATGCTTGGGACTGATGAAACACGACCCACGCAGACTCCCATGTGAGGCAGCAGTGGGGACAGACGGATGAAAGGCAGCAGTGGAGACTGAGGCAGCATAATACTTGCCCTTATTAGAACGTACGTATAGACCTTCATGAACTCGAATCCAGGCCAAGGGTTCCAAATTCGTCCGGGCTGCGGGGGAAACTTTGAGATCCGCAGACACGTTGGGACTGAGACACGGCCCAGACTGCCATGTGAGGCAGCAGTGGGGATCTTGGAAAGCACGGAGGGCAAGTTTCCGGCTCGCACAGTCAGCATAGTGCTCCTGAGCTTCCTTGGGAGAATGCGGTAGCCAGAACAACGCCACAGGGGGACATGAAGAACATTATTCAAGCTGTCCGCATTCCATCGTCTCGGGGCTCCATCGGTTCAAGATGAGTGCTGATGGGTGCATCTAAGAGAGAACTGATGCGTTCACCTCGACGGCAGGACGTAGTACACACCAACGCGTCAGCGTGGACCCGTTTCTTTGACAGACGGAACAAACAATCCTCATCAGCACGGCAGTTTCATACTTGATCCTGGACCGACTGGCCATGCCAAGGGGCCAGCATCCATCCCCCCGATTAAAGACAGTGAACGTTCACGCAAGGAGGCGGCGGGTGCACCGTGGGCAGGAGAACGAAGGTTCAAAACCCCTCCCTGTTCGAGGGGAAGGAAAAAAGAGGGTTCAAGAGGGGAAGAAAAAAGAGGGTTCAGAGGGAACCCTCTTCGCAAGGCTTCACGGCTGGTCGACTTGCAGAAAACAGAGCGCACTTACGAGTTGGTTGCCTTTCAGCCGTTTGCTCACGCAGTCCATCGGCTGGGTGAGCGAAGGGCAAGGGTAGCATGATCATCCGGGCATAGCAGTTTGTCGGCTGCTACCAAGCAAGGAATGATTACGTTCGCCTATCAGCCATTCGCTCACGCAGTCCATCGAACACCAATCAATCAGCCAGCCTCATGAGCTAGCTCGCACGCTGCAGACGAGGGATCAGACAGGCTAACTACTGCACACCGTATCTCAGACACGCCATCAATCGGCTACCCATGCCTAATCAGGCAAGCAATCGGAAAGGAAGGCTCTGAAGCAGAGCACCAGAGAGGTCATCAGTAGATCAACAAGTCAACCGACAAATCAAGCACCAATCGATCAAGCAATCAACCAATAATGAACCCCAGCCCACAAACCGCTCTAAACATCTCCCACATTCTCTCCCCTCTTCCTGATCTGTGCCCTATCAACGGTTTGTCGATCAGTAAATCAACACGCCGACCGACCAATCAGGCACCAATCAATCAATCAATAAATCAATCAGTCAATTAATCAATCAACCAACCAATCAATCAATCAACCGATCAATCGACCACCCAACCACCCAACCAACCAATCAATCAATCAATCAACCAACCAATCAATCAACCAGCCAACCAGTCACTCGAACCTACTCAATCAGGCACCAATCAATCAATCAATCCACCAGCCAACCAATCACTCGAAACTACACAATCAGGCATCAATCAATCAATCAATCAACAAATCAATCAATTTACAAGCCAACCGATCACTCAAACCTACTCAACCAGTTACTCAGCCAATGTTCAGAGTCAGACGTCAACAACTAAGCACCCACGCACTGGATCCCTTGTATATCTCCACATCAACCTCGCCAAGCAACAATCCGAATGAACCGCCGGTCAGACCAAAGCAGATCAAAGGAGAGAGCCTTGCCGATGACCCAAACGGCAGATGCAGAAAGCCCTTATTCACAAGCGCAGAGAATTTTCTCTTTTTTTTTACGTTCTCACAGATTTCTCTCCAGCTCGCATCCTGTCATCGAGTTCCATTCTTGAACAGCATCAAGTACCTTTTTCTGCGAATGGCATGACGACAAGGAAGAAGGTCGATCCATCTTTGAAGATTATTCCGGCGTGACCAGAGGAGCAAGCCTACGAGGGTGATCGGATCAGGGTTCCTTGGTTGAAGGAGGCATTGGCTACCGTCTTTCCCCCGAATATAACGCAGCATCGCTGATCAGGGCGCGTTGTGTCCAAGGGAAGCTAGCGGAACCGACAGGAGGGAGAAAGAGAGAGAGAGAGAGAGAGAGACGAAGAACGGGAAAAAGAAAGGGGGAGAGAGAGGGAGGGAGAGAGAAAGGGAGAGAGAGAGAGAGAGAGAGAGAGAGAGAGAGAAGAACAACGTACGAGAACAGGGTCAAAGAGGCGGGCAAGGCGAAACGGAAAGAAGGGACCCCGGGAAACATTTATCGATGGTAATATGGTCTACGGCTAAGGACCATTAGGGACATGCAGCAAAAGTGCAAGAGGTACTCCAGCCAGCAGTATATACATCCAGCAAAAGTGCCAGACGTACTCCAGCAATATATACATGCTGTGCGGATCAGCCTCCCACTGCAGTCGGAGGCATCCCAGCAAAAAGTGCCCGAGTGCAAGTATATATACCCCGGATACAAGTGGTGTTCATCATGACTTCCTCTCTTCTTGAGTTATACAGCAGCACTATATACATGCTGTGCCGATCAGCCTCCCACTGCCGTCGAAGAGGCATCCCAGCAAAAATATCCGTCTTCGTCAGAGAAAATACCCGCATGAGGCAAGCACCTCGGTATATCCATCACGGTGCGATGATGGTGCGATGAAGGACGGATGGTTTCTGCATGTACTTGCGACCAATTCGGTCGGTTGATTGATTGATTCAGCACAGATGAAGGATCGTGGACTCGAAGGATGCTAAGTAAGCATCACGATGAGATGATATGGTGATACCGAGCCAAACAGGTCAATATGCTCAATTCAGACGGTTGATTGATTGAG